CAAGATAGACTTGACCTGGTTTCTTTTTGTAGCAGCAGTGGCTGCTTTTCAACCGTTTGTTGCACGATCTTTACGCCATGATTCCGGCAGTTCGGTCGTGGAGAAAGGTTGGGAAGAATTGTTCCAGGTCCCGAAATCATAAATTGAGCTATTGCAGCTCGGCGGAAGACTTTCATGGAGTCTATAAATTGAACGCCTGACCTGTTAGATAGAGATGGGAGCGTATTCTCCGTATCGTTGATAGCAGCGGTGCATAATGTGAGGTTAGTTGCGGCCTTGGCCGCTCACTGTTCTTCGGCTTCAGGTATGGCTTAAAGCTCGGAAAGGCAAGTCGCGAGATTCTTGGAGCTACTATCGCTGCAAGGATTTTGGTTATTTACACTTTTCCTCAGAGTAGTATTCTGAAGGGTTGTGATGGACGCAGTTCCGTCGACTTTTTTTGCGTCAATATTATTTGTCCGCTTCATGACCGGCACAGTAATTTTCCTTGTGTTTGTAATAACGGAAGCCTCTGAGATCTGACCGTCTTTTGCTTCCAGATGTTTCATCGTGAGCCCTCAAGCCCCTCTTTGATATATTGGTTGTTGGCTGCATCACCCGTTTCAACATCTGGGCTTACGGAATTCGAGTCTTCTTCGAAAGCTCTTATCCTTCCAGTCATTTCCAATTCAATCTTTTGCCATTCTTTCGAGCTCAATAGTATTTTTATATTTTCCAAGCGCTTTATCAGCCTGGCGTTTATTTTTGGCACGATTCATGTACGGCGAATAAGCCGCGATGATTTGGCAGGCCCGGGAAACACGTTGGAGATTCGGGGTCTTGCTACAATGAGAAGTCGAATTATTGTAAGTGTATGAAAATTGAATGGTAAGGAAGATATTTATGGGGTATCATGGATTTGATTTGATTGAATTTAACGTCGTGCCTGTTAACAGCTCGTGACTAATGTCACGTACTGGATGGCCCAGTCCCTACAGAACCACCCGACGCTCTAGCGCGCACTACAGCACCTAAAAATTACAAAAGAGTCCGACCAGCTGTCCGTCACCAGAGAGATTAGATTAGAGGCTCAGGCGCGTGGTGGCTGAGGTGGAACAGAGGAAGGGAGATTGTTGAAGTTTTCCTTTTGTAATGCGGGATTTCGCGGGAAAGTTTTTGTTTTGTTTTCAATTCTGGGCTGCCAAATTTGTCATGGTTCAACACATAGATGTATTTTGACATGGTTCCGGTCATTTAGGTGGGACGAGGCATTTGTACTGCACGGTAGTTATCCTGATCCGGCCCGACCCCACTCGTGCTCAAGCTCCAGTAGGAGTGCGAAGGTAGTTACTTCACCTAGCACGTTAATGAACAAACAAACAAACAGCTGTCCGTCACTCTGCATTCCAATTTAAATGTAGCAAATTTCCCTCTACTAGGAACTTTACTTTTTTTTTACGAGTAGTTTTAAATTACACCCGCAGAACAAGAAAAGAAGAATAAATTCATCCATCTAACATTTATCCCACACCAGATCGTAAAATTACACTTGGAAATATCTGATGGGCTCTTTGGATTTCGTCGAAGAACTTCGTCAGCTCAACCCACTTTCCGAAGGCGAGGGCACCTTCAGGCGTGCCAACAAAGGCCTGGGGTTTTCTGCTTTCTTAGGTTCCTGTTTCGGACCCTTATAGTGACTCCTCAAGGGAAACCAGAGGAGCAAACCTAGATGCCGAGCCCACTGTTGGTGTAGGAGCTGGAGCGAAGGCCCATGAGGCTTGTGGAGGTGCACTCCCGATAAGGGGGTCACTAGGAAGCGGAGGAGGATGTAGGGTAAGCCATGCTTTATGTCCCTCCTGTCGAATCAGCCGTATTCTCTCTTTGTCTGGCCGAACAGAGACTCCGTTTACTCGAAATGGACGGGCTGGACAGCCAGGGGAAGAAGCCTCGTGTGGGCCAGCGCAATTCAAGCATTTTAGAGGTGTCATGCAGGGACCGTTATGAGAGTCTGAGGCGCAAATGCTAGACCGGGCTCGGCGTGTGCAGCTGTTTATGTTGTGAATTCTGTGACAGCGGGGGCAGACTTGAAGGCGGGGGCGATTATCAGATGGCCGGATTCTAGCAGAGCGAGCAAAGAGGCGAATAATGGTCGGGAGTTTCTCTGAAGCTGGCTTTGAGACTACCAGACGGAGGGTTCTTTCTCTCTCAGGGGATTCCCTCGATCGACGCTTCCATGAGATGGAGAAAATTGACTCAGTGTCAATTTTGGCACCTGCTAGCTCCTGCCGGATATCTGCGTCGGATAAGGCCTCCGGTAATCTGGAAGAATTTTATCCGTATTTTGGAACTGGGCCTAGAAGAAAGTTTGTGCGTTTTTCTTGACTCTCAATTGGTACAATTCCAGTCATGGGCTGCAGAGCTACAGCTGCCTGGGGAAGATCTGTTGCTTGATCAGGAGAGGGAGCAACCAAAGCAATGCCAGATGGAACTGAACGAATGTCCTTGATTAGCTCTGGACAGTCTAGAAGGCTTCTCAGCTTCGTACGGACAAGGAGAGAAACTTGGTGGCGTAAGGGGTAATCAGGCGCTAGGCGAACCATGACCCTCGAGTCGGGCTTGAATTTTACAGCTAATGGTGCAGTATTTTTCTTCGTCTGGAGTGGCGGGGCTGGAATAGAGGAGCCTTTCTTTGCCATAAATGCGTATGACAGGGGTGAGTTTATTACCGGAGGGGGATAATTTATCTTGTTTTCATTAGTTTGTGAGACAGTTGTTGACTGCTCAAAGACTGCTCAAAGACTGGCAAGCCGGCAATAACCCGGGCGTCGCTGCGTGTCATGATAGCTTTTAGATCAGCTGCAATAGCCGGTGGAAGAGCACGAAGGTGTTGAACACCGGCGTTTAGCCATGCTAATAGCGATGTGGCAATGTCATTGGTCGTGGCCGCTGAGGATTGGTGTATTACACGCGCTGATTCAGCCGTCAGAGGGGGGGGTAGATTTGGTATCTACTTTCGGAGTATAAATAGGTTGAATTTTAGAAGAGGCATGTATAGAACTAGAAAGGCCTGTACCAGAATTCTTTTTCAAGACTCTTGTGGCTTATAGCTTTGGGGCCCTAGTTGCAGGCTCGAGCATATGCAACGGGTCGGGGAGGTAATCATTTTCTGACCCTGAGTCCATGGACTCATCTTCGGTGTCAATCAGAATTGACTCGGGTGGAGAATGGTGACTCTCAGAGGAAGCTGCAAGAATGGCTTCTTCGCGTGCAAATGGAAGTGAGCTCTTAAGTCTTACGCGTTTGGCAGCACGCGTAATAGTTTTCGCAGGTAATGCGATCATGGCAGGCTTTTCCCGTCTACCAGGAGGCATTCTGCCTAATTGTGACGTGTAGAGTATCATGGATTTTCTCAAAAATTCAGGAATAGTAGCACTGATCATGTGTCATAGATAGATTGCTTTTTTTTTGTACCAGATTTAAATTGCGTATGCAGCTATCTAGCTATGACAAAATATCAAAGAAAAGCACAGAATAGATGATTCAACGTAAAGGAAGAGCACTCATGCCTCAGATTTCATTTGCAAGTACCACTGCGAAGTTATGGCAGCTTTTTCTTCACCCCAAGTCAGCCCTCATCCGTGAATACCCACTCAGGGGAACGTCTCAAAAACCCTGAGTTATCCAGACATGCCTCCGTCATCCATCAAATTTTCTCCGCGCGATATGTGATCTGAGGTGTCTCCTTCCCATGTGGAGTAGGTGCCCAGGCTACTCAAACCATACCAGATAACACCACCAGGAGGCGGATCACTACACCTTCCATCGTCTGCTTGTTTTTATAGTGTGAGCTGCACTCTCGCAAGCGAAGCCTTGGCGCGCACAAAGCTCAATTCGTAAAACTCCATGCCTAAATTCGAAATTTCACGCTCGTCGAAAACGTATCCCTCTTCTGCATCATCTTGTAAACTTTTCATGATCCCTCTCACGTCCATCCCAAAGAGCTATCTCTCAGATTTGTGCTCCACGCTTTGCTTCCTCCGTCGGGTATAAATATCGGCGTGGGCGTGTATTTGGTGACCGGCTGAGGCCAGAGAAAGTCGACGAGAGGTGTTGTCATTGAAACGAGGATGTACTATGTCGTACTTGTAGATTTGATGAAGCTTAGTTGAGAATCAGACTCTTTGGGAGTGAAAGATTGACATGGTGGAGTAATTCGAAATTTTGCCTCGTGGGCCAACTTCTTTGATATTGCGAAATTTGACTGAACTTGGCTCTGGGAGAATATTTCACTCGCAGGTTCGTAGAGGACACCGCGTACAGGTGTTCAGTCTTGCCCTCCAGATAGATCGCTTAATACACATAAAACCTACAAGAAAAATTGTGACAACCTTATCATCCCTGAAACCAGTGGATGATCTTCTAAAATTAAAATGATTCTTAATACTCTTGCCAATCAAAATCTTAGCAGGGCCCATAGCAGCATTGCCACACAAGAAGCGAGCACATCGGGCTCAATGCTCACTTACACAGAAGGAATGTGCCAGGAGGAGGAAAACCGTGCTGCCAATGTGGATATCCTTCCCAAAATATAAGCACATGGTGATGTCTTGTCCAAGATGGGCAAAGGGAGGAGGCAAGTTGCTGCGAAAATCGACAAACAGATCTTTCGAAGCTATGGTAAATAAAGTTAAAGATATGACTAGAATTGCACAGAGTATTCAAAAGGAAGGATGGCTAGAGCTGTTTCGGATTATCGGAGAAATCGAGGCGTTAATGAGGCGAAGAAAGAAAAATGGAAACACAGGATAAGACGGAATCCACTCTAGCAACAACAGTGTAACTACACTTCCTGGAGATGATACTATAATGGCGTAGGGTACAATCAGACAGCTAAGGGGAAGTTTTGTAGCAGGGCATCCTCCTATGTAGATGTTGAAGTTCGTAGACACCTGCATGGGCCCATAGGGCGCCAAATCGGGCTAATTGAAATCAAATTCAAAAAACACTCTTACCAATGATTGATGTCTATCCAAGCTAGACTCTCGACAATGGCCACCAACACAGTTGGGAAACGCAAAAGAAGTGATAGTCCGAACGGCAGCTCAGCTTTGGCACACAAATCTAAACAGAAGCTTAAGAGTAAAATTCCTCATGTCTAGAGCTTTTGCCGCCTATTGATAGTACCACAGCAGAATCTATACTCTCCTTCTTTGGCTCGACGACTCCGAATTCTTCTGATCTGCAAACCTGGCAAGTAAGAGGCTCAAATGATGCTGTAGAAAAATCGTTACTTTTTACGAAGTATTCACCTTCAAATAGCTGTAGATCTTCTATTGCTGATACAGATACTCCAAATACAACTTCTCTAAATTCCAGAAACTTAAAAATAGCTGCTTTTGATCTGGTAAGCAATTGGCTATGGTTGGCTATTCCGCTACAATGACGAGAATACAGGATTCCACGCTCATCACAACAAGATCTGGTAAGAAATTTTCTAGCGATGCCCAAGATTGGAAATGGTGGCACTCTTCCATTCCTAACACATTGCGAAAGCTTATCTTGGAGGATGGGTATGTACTTTCATGAAACATGATAAAATTTTAAAAATTAAGGTCATAGATTTAAAATCGCCATCATAAGTAACCAAGCTGGCCTTTCTTTAAAAAATAAATCAGATCCTAAAGCCAAACTTCCCGAGTTCAAATCAAAAGTTTCCTCGCTTCTTAATAAATTAGATCTACCTGTCAGTGTTTATGTTGCCACAGAAAATGACACATACAGGAAGCCAAGATCTGGAATGTGGGAAGAACTAGTCAGAGACACACTAGTTGACAAGTCTGAAGAACTCAATCTCGAAGAAACTTTTTTTGTCGGTGACGCTGCTGGTCGAGCAGCTAGCCCCGGGAGACCCAAGGATTTCTCCTGCTCCGATCGGTAGAGAGTTACAACTGATCATGATTCACGGGCTAATTTAAATTAGCAACTTTGCAGAGAATGTCGGTATCAAATTCTTTACCCCTGAAGAGTTCTTCTTAGGAGAAAAGCCTCGCCCATTCTCCCGATTATTAGAGCCTGCCAAATATTTTCAAGGATTGACAACTCAATGTACGGCTGTCATACACTAGGTTTAGAAATTTCACTTATTCAAACAGGCTCCCAGCCATTTTTGAAAAAAAATAAAAATGATATCATTCTTCTGTGTGGTAGCCCCGGATCAGGAAAATCAAGCTGGTACTGGGGAAACTTAGAGCCGCTTGGATATGTTAGGGTGAATCAGGACACCCTCAAGACTGTATGAACAACATTCATATATTTCTACAACTCTAGCTAACGTTATAAGTGCGATAGATGTATCAAGATTGCATCACAGGCCCTTTCGGACGGTAAATCAGTAGCCATTGGTGAGTGGGATCCATTGCGATCATTTCAGCCTAATCTACTAATCCAATAAAATAGACAACACTAATGCTAGTTTCGAGGTGAGGAGAAAGTGGGTAGAACTAGCCCGAAAAAATGAGGTTCCAATTCGATGTGTGAATTTTACAACGCCAATTGAGATCTGCAAACATAATGACACAATGCGAGCCTTAAATCCAACTGTGAGACTACTCTTTTCTACTACAAGATTCCCATTTATACGATCGATGTAAGCCATTGGACTTCAATAATACTTGCTAAAGAATCTGATAATAGATGAACCCTGAAAATCGTATGATGCTACCCGCAATAGCTTTTGCAAGCTTTACAAAGCGATATCAGGCACCTCAGATGGAGGAAGGGTTTCAAGACATTGTCGAGATAAATTTTAACGTGCCATCAATTCCCGAGCTCAACACTAGAAGTGAGCTAATATCTTTTGTAGCTTCGTGGGTCCGAAACGGAACGGAAGATTTGGAACCATTACTGGACCTAATTCCTACTTTGGCCCAGAGATAAGTCACAAGATCATGATTACGTTTAACCGCAATTTATATCAAAAGTACGTCATCAGCCCATTTCTGAACTCAACAGAGTTATCAGAAGTAAGTCACAATGTAAATTTTACTGAAACGATCATACTTCGACTACTGTTGATGGTGTTGTAAAAATACTCTTATCAACCTATGAATTCATAAATGTTTACTTATAAGAAATTGAGGAAACCAAATTATGGATCCATCATTAAACTTGTTGAAATATGAATGTATGCAATACATTGGAGCTTTAGTATTAATAAACAGAAAGTAAGATAGATATCTTAATGATAAGATATTTGATGGGCACTCGTACTTGCCTCTATGTAATTGTCTAACTAAGATCACATTAAGAGACTTAGAATTAACAATCTATGTACAACCAGACACCGTGAGGGGGACTATTCTCAACACCTGTCAGCGGTGTCCCCTACGAACTTCCAGCTCTCACTGTAGAGTCTGCAGAGCCGAGATTGAGTAACAAAGTCCTCACTTCGAAGAGGATTCCCAATCGCTTTCGCGGTCTGTATCGTCTTCATTTCTCAACACATCCCCCTATCACCATTATCATGAAGCTAACCACGATCAGATCAGATGGTAGGGTCGGAGCCCTACTCATCACCAACCCTTGATCATGGAGGCCAAGCCATCCGATGAGTTTCCGGAGTGTACCCAGCACCCGATAGGCAGATGGCGGATTGGATCAAGTCGGCCTCAACTGTTACAAAGAAGGGAGATATAGATGAGTATGCGCACCTCATATGGTCCCGGTGTCTAAGCCTCGCCTGGCTGGGACTGCAGGTTTTTTGAGACTTTTTCCCGCGCACGCAGTTTCCATTGCTACAATTTTTTTTTGGGTAGAAAGCTCCGTGGAAAAGGTGGCTGAATTCCACGGGTAAATACGCAGCTGAATGGCTATTCATCAAGGGCAATATATCAATGATCTTTCAAGTAACAAATGAGGATAGGAGCACTGTACAAAGTGTGGCCTGGGTCAGAGAGGAGCCCAATGTGCTAGATAGTCATAGACTCAAGTAGTACAATAAAACACACACACACCCACACAATTTTTTGAAATTCGAATTTTCGAATATTCCTATTTTCCCCCTCTCCCTCCCTTTCGCGCTCGTCGCATTCATCAGAAAATTGTGATCTCGGTGACAAGTCCCCGATCTTCGGAATGGCACTTGGGCAACCCAAAAAATCGCGTGAGGATCGTGTTATCGACGCCCTCGGAAGAGCGCATAAGAAAATGATCAAACGTATGATCGACAAGAATTCGACAGTAAAAAACATCGACTATGGAAAAATGGACATAGAGCTTATCGAGCGGATCAATGCCTTCGAAGAAAATACCATCTCTAGCAATCCAGACATCGAAATGTCCGATAGAACAATCGACATTTATATCCAAGAGGGCCTCAGTAGCTTTAGGTGGAACGTAGAAGACTCGGAAGACAGCCAAGTCACAGTCATCCCCGCCAGCACAACTAGAAAAATTGCTGTCCCTGCTGTAAGGCGGGCAGCGATCGCGCAAACAAGTAAGGAAAAAGGCGCCGCATGTCCCAAAAATCCCTCTGAGGGTACACCAGGGATTACAGAGGAGAGCACCGCTTCTCGCAGCGAAAACAACCCCAAGCTGACAGAAGAATATCCCTCCGAACTTAGGGCCTTAGCCGAAGCCGAAGAACGCCGGACTGCTAAAACAGCAGAAAATGTAAAGATCTGCACTGCTGCAATAAATGGTGTCGAAAATGCTCTCTCCCCCCTATCCAAAGGGACGAGTGTTAAATTTAAAGACTCCATGAAGGTCTACATCAGAGCTGCAATAGCTCAATTCATGATATCAGGACCGGGTACAGTCCTCCCAGTACTTCCCTCGCGCCCTGAAACCCAGGCTACTGGCAGCAAGATTATAGAACGTGCCGCCAAAAAGCAAGATGAGCCACAAAGTAAATTGACTCATGACAAAGTCCCCCAGGCCAAAAACCACTTGGGCCTTAACCATCCGGAACGGTCTAAAGACTCCCCCGGCAGCTACAAAAGTCGCGCAGGCTATGCCAAAGGCGACAAACTCGACGCGACCTTCAAAAAACCCGACCGCCCCAACGTAATCAGGCACCAAAGATGAACGCTTGTTTCGTCGCCTTGGAAATGAACACCCTTGGAGAAAGCTATTACCGTTTGGTGTTAGAGAGGCTATGGCGAAAATGCTCGAAATTCCTCAAGTCAACAATCAGCACGTTTACCGTGTTCCAACTGGCTTCGCAATTAGAGCCGAAACCCAAGAATCACGCGCCATCATGTTAAGCCTAGCTGGGTCCCTCATCCAGCAAGATACCATACTGGAAGAAGGATCGGACCTAGGCTCACTTAGAATCGCAACAGTCCCAGTTGCCATTAATATAATAATGGGCAGAATTATCGTCACTGAAGAGATAGTAACAGAAGAGATAGTCAGGGTCACCAAGGCTGTTCCGGTAAAAGTTCGCCCACATAGGAAAAGCCGACTTGGAGCCCCATACCAGTCATGGGTAGCCCTTTTCGAAAAAGCATCGATCCCTCGGCCAGGCTTCCGACTTTTCGACGACTCTGGGATTGCAGTCCGTCACCAGCCTCGTCAAAGCGATAACCAGTGCAAAAAATGCCTAAAATTCCATGGCACCAGAGGCTGCTCGCGCGCCCCAGCCTGCTGGAATTGTACTTCAACAATGCATTCCATCGAGGAGTGCAAGGCACACACCAAGTGCCGCAACTACGGGAGTCCACACAGATCAGATAGTCGGGACTGTCCAGCTCGTCCAACAAAGTCTGGAATGGCCTCCAAGGGAAACCTTCAGACCATAAGGCAGGCTAGCCAACGCGAATTCGCGGCAGTCACTCAGGCCAAAGCAGCTGTCAAATGCGCAGAGGCAGCTATGACAGCAGCCGCAGAAGCGTCAAATACTAACCAGACAGGTTTCAAATCGAGCAACTGTTTTAAAGTTCTCATGTCCGACGCTACAGCGACTGTAGCTGAGGTCGATGAGGCATCAAATCAGCAAAAATCTTTGTGAAGGGCACCCCACGGGTCTCTTCGAGCTTCTCTCTCACTCTAAGCTTTATGTCAATAAACGTAGGTAGAGGGGGCTCAACGCAAAACATTGCGCTTGCCCGAGCATTTGAGCTAGGTATCGACGTGGTTCTTTGTAAGGATTCCTCTTCCGATCTTTTCTTTAGGATATAATTTTACCTTTCTTCATATGTTGCTATGACAACAGGACAGTTCTTGGCACATGGTATCATGTTGATATTATGTTAAGGTCTATGTTATGATGAGCTAGTGAAAGGAAGGCAGGTATATATATAATGGTTTGGTCTGTAGGCATAGAGTTCTTTACGCTTAGTCTTCTGTCATAACCACCACCTTCGGATCACCTCTGGTCACCTATAGTCACCTCTAGTTACCTTTAGCACCTTTAGCCACCACTAGTATTTGCTCGTATCTTTAGACTCTTTAGACACTTATATTACCCATATTTAAACCTTTAGTTCTCCAAATTATCTCCAGTAGATCTTTAGTCATCCCTCGCGATCCATCCGACCTCTTCTCGCCCTTCTATTCCACTTCAGGTCAAACGCCTACGCTCCAATTTGACATTCTTGTTCAAGCACCTCTGTGGAACAAACAAAAGAACACAACAAAGGATCACCCAGGATACACCTATCATCTACCTAACGGCGGCGAAAATGTTAGGCCCAGGGCTGTGACCTATACCCAGATAGACGATAAAAAGATAATGGCAACACAGCTCTTTCCTTATGTTGTGTCTATAGGAGACTATTGCTGGGTTGAAGTGAACGGCATTACTTTTCTCAACGTCTATAAGGCACCCAATGACTTGACAGCTATACAGCCTCTCATCAACTGGACTCCACCACCAAACTCCGTCGCTGCTGGGTACTTTAACTCGGTATATTGGGCTTGGCAACCTGGCGAGGAACGTCCTCACGGACAAGGAGAAATGATCGAGAAATGGGCAGACAAACAACATTTGACCAGTCATATTATTGGGGAGCCCACTCACCGAGCTGGGAACACGCTAGATCTAGTTTGGAGTAATATCGACGGCGCCCGTGCTTAGGTAGATCGTGGTGGATGTGTCACCAGCGATCACTTCCCTATCCGAGGACAAATTCCAGTTCGCAACTCAGTGATGAGACCCGAAAAGGCAAAACTCCGAGTAACAAAGGAAAAGCTACCCAGATACGCCAAGGTAATTGTGCAGTGGGTCCGACCACCACCAGTTCTTGACACAATCGAGAGGGTTGAAGAGTATGCCGAGGAAATTTGTTTCCATCTCACTAATGCAATCAATGCAGTAGGAACACGACTAAAAGTCCGCTGCGGCAGATCTACTCCGTGGTGGACCCCAGAGTGCAAGGCAGCCTTTGCTGAGTACAAAAGCGCGATAACTCCCAGCCAACGGGCACTCTGCGCGAAAAAAGCTCCGATCAGTTGTGAAGACCTCGAAAAAGGAGTTCAAAAGCCAACAGGTCGAATCAATTACTACTCCAACCGATGTATTCAAGCTAATGAGAATGGATAACCCCAGACAGGCTAGTATCCCTCCGCCACTGAATCATGATGGGACGTTGATAATAGATCCATTAAAACGGGCTACGATCCTTCGCGACTCCCTCCTGGCACGATTTCAGGTATCAGACAACTTGTCACCATGTACAGTCGTGAGCAGCAGTCGGATACCATTGGAAGAGGACGTAATAGATGAAGAAGTCCGAGCCTGTACCATTGGTTGCGGAAACACGGCCCCAGGAGCAGACGGAGTCTTCGTAAACCTGCTGGAGGCGTGTTGGAATACAATCTGGCCTTGGATTTCCCAACTGTTCCGAGCTTGTATTCTGCTTGGCACCCATCCACAGTGTTTCAAATTAGCTGAAGTTTTCCTCCTTCAAAAGA